CACTTGCATGTCTGGACCCAAGCAGATGCACTGTAGCATGCTTCCCTCAGCGTGTCATGCTGTAAGAGGACAGAGCTCAGTAAGATGGAGATCAAGAGTTTATACCATTAGGTCAAATGTCATGGTACAGTGATGACATCATCAGCGTGTCTCTTAAAGGTGGATCTCAAATCTGCTGTGTGCCATTACACAACAGTGAAAATAAAAATATTCAGGCTGACTATATAATAATCGAGTTTGGTTTTGCATGTCCTGATCTGTTGCACAACACTGAGAATTCAGGTTTTATAAAAGATTTAAGGTCACAAACCATCCTGGAACTGCTTTTAGCATCAAAATCAGTTTTCTATAGCAAGATAACTCTTGCTGGGTACTTTCAAGAGAAAGCTCATTTCCACTCACCTGACCTGTCGTTGTTCCCATCCTCACATCCAAATGTTGGACCATGGACTTTCGATGGACTGGTCCATGCTGATGGGGGTGGAATACTGCAGATTTAGATGTCAAAAGGTTCAGCACATTTTGGGTAGGGTCTCAATCTGCACAAAGAGGCAATTTCTCACAACAGCCAAACCAGAATTGATTATTAAGAGGAGAGTTTGAAAGCTGGCATTGGGCAGTGGGTACTTTTGTGGGATAATGAAGGGCATTCCTGCTGAAAAATGATCCTAACCATTTTCTGGATTAGCCTCCAACCTGTTTTAGGTGGCCAATGCTGTGCCCTTACTGCAGACTCACATGTCAATGTGGTCGTGGACTGTCCAAGGGATGCCTGAGGCGCTGCATTCTTGCTGCTATCCTACTGCCCGCCAGTTATTTTCCATAATGGAAAAGCCTGATCTGCGTCTGTAATTCATCTTCAACACCTTCTGTGATGAGGTACCAGGCCCCTGTGCTGTTGTTCCACCAGGCTGCACTTCTGTAAGACTAAATCAGTCACAAATATACTGGATGTGCACGCCAATTACCAACACTGAACAGGGTCCAAACTTCAGCATGGTGTGCAGGAAAATAGCTACTTACATGTAATTGCAAAGAGCCTGCAACCCAGAGACAGTTCCTTTGACCCAACTGCTTGGGGATTCACTTCATATCATGCCCCTGCCCACCCTACTCCATAACAGCATACTTTCCATTCTTTCCTATTCCTCAACATACTCTGTATAGCAGCAAGTTCCATTTCCTAACCATGTAAAAGTACTATGAGTTTGATTAGGGACAACCTTATACTTGCAATCCTTCATTTCAGATTGCCGCATGGATGGAAACATTTTACCACTCTGTACCTTAATGCCTTCATGATTATCTTTTATAAAGCGGATATCAGACAGATCTAAATGCAAGCTTTATTTTACTATAAAATCTGAGGCAAAAAGGCACCAGGAAAGGCAAGCTCACAAAATCAGGATGCAGAGGAGTTGGTCAAGCAAAACAAACCACAGAGTTGAATTGGTGTTGCAAGATTAGGCAAGTTGAGATATAAATCCCTTTCACTTAAAAACACAAAGTCCTGCATTGCTAATTTATAACAATAGGGTCGTCAGATAGGTCTGTCCAAATAACCATTTATTTATGAATTTATTAAGCAAGATTTTATGAATACTAAACAAACAAGCAGTGAAAACCACACAAAGCTTTTTTTAATCTTCCACAGTTAAGTTTTCTTGATCATTGCCAACACAGACAATATTTTCCCTCTCCTGTCTCTGAAGTGACGTTACATTGAACTAAGTCTCAGCAGAATTACAATATAGGAACCATGGTGAAACACTGTCAAAAAAAAACTGGGTTTCCAACTCTTACTCCTCATTCTGAGGTTTGATCATTCTGTATTAGGGAATTGTCAAACTAATGCTTCCAATAGCTTAAGATGAGACTCCACTTTTACAACAAAAGTCACGTAGGCTACGTTTCGGTCCACCTTATATTCATTAGGACCTAATATTTGTGTTAACAAATGATCCATTCTTTTATACACAGGGAAGTTGTACAAACAACGTTATCAATAATGCTAACCACCACAAAATATTTCCCTAACAAATCCCCAGGAATACTAAATAAATTTAGAGCAAATGTTTCTAGCAGACCATCAGGGTGTCATTTGAAAACATAAACGTTTTGTTCTACAGATTTTTTCAATTAACCAAGCCAGTTCAGCAAATGAAATCCTACTCCAAATACACAATGTTTAAAGATACCAGTCATACTCAATTCAAGCTGCTAAATTCAAACTTCTTAGTTATTTACTTAAAACGGACAAACAAACTGAATTGCACCCAATAAAATTAAAACAGACACAATTGCTTAAGGGAAGCAAAGAACTGCAGATGGCAGAGATCTGGAACAAAAACAGAAATGCATTGATTCCATCTTCTTTCTCTCAAACTACAAGATGAATTCTATCACATTATGATCACTAGTCCCTAAGGGTTCCTTCACCTTCAGCTTTCTAATCAAGTCTGCCTCATTACACATCACTAAATCCAGAATTACTGTTCTCTATTTGGCTCTACCACAAGCTGCTCCAAAAACCACCTCATAGACATTTTATGAATTCCTTTCCTTGAGATCTGCTACCAACCTGATTTTCCCAGTTCACCGGCATATTGAAGACCCCATGATTATAATATCGGTGCCTTTCTTAAATGGCTTTTCTATCTCCTGATTATTTTCTTCCTCTCATCCTGACTACTGCTAGGAGACCTGTACACAATTCCCATGATGGCCTTTTTTCCTTTTAACATTAACATTTCGAGTCTGGTTCTGATGAAGAGTTTTCTTCCACCAGATGCTGCCAGGCCTGCTGAGTTTTGCCAACAGTTTCTGCTTTTGTTTCATAATTGCTTTAACCCAGATACTTTGGCACCACTAACACAATTTAAACCAGAAAGACCAGATATTTGTAAGGCAGCTGCCCTACTAACCAACTCACTAGCAGAAATGCAAGTTGTTTGAAAATGTAGCCAAGGCAAAATCCTAAGATGTTACTTCAAATCCCCAAATTAATAGAATTATCAAAATCTAAAATGTGGAGAGCATTCATTAATTTCACATTATTACTGGGGAAAAGAAATTACAAGAACAAAGACTGTAAGATGATAAGGATTTCTTTAAAGATTCATGTGTATTTGCTGTGCAGGGGCCTTGCATTTCAATTTTACGACATGAGCAACTCAGTCAAGAATTTAAAGTGCCTTGACATCCATGTTGACAGAAATTTAAATTCTGTTTTCCATATTGGGATGCTGACCATGATAAGTCTGAGCAGTCTGCTGAATGGGAATAAGAAATGTTAAACACTAAATATTAAAACTTCACAGCACGAAAATAAACAAGGTGTAGTTTCCTGCTCATCAATAGCATTAGAACAAATTGTTCATTCAGGCCTTCCAAGAATTAAACAGAATACCAAAGTATTGAGCTATAAGCAAATTGCTTATGATAGCATGGACTAACTTTGGCCCTAAATTTATTAGCTTACTCTGGCTGTGACAAAAACAAAGATCATCCATAATGAGAAGAAAAAGTCAAAAATGCTGGACATCTCAATCAAGTCTAAAACGCTAAAACAGAAAAAAAAATCAATTGATAGCAATCAAGCAACTTCATCTTTCAGTTTGAACTTTGATCAGAAATAGAAACTGGAAGGTAAGGTGTCTTTGTGTTTAGGGCTCAAAAAGAGGGGGAAGCAGCAATGGGAAAAAATATTGTTTGGAATGTTAATCATAGAATGGATACAGAACATTAAGACATCACCCAACCCATCATGATCCTGTCACTCTCTGGAAGAGAATTAAGTTGGTCCCAGTTCCCTGCCTTTCCCTGTAATCGTTTTTTTTTGTTTCAGGTGATTATTTTGCGTTGAATGGTCAAATATGATTAGTTCAAAATACAAGCAAAATACTGCAGATGCTGGAACTTTGAAATAAAACCGGTCATCGCTGGAAATATTCCCTGAAGAGGAGTCATACCAGACTCGAAACGTTAACTCTGTTTCTTTCTCCACAAACCTGACTGACCTGCGAAAAAACCAAAAGAACTGCGGATGCTGTAAATCAGGAACAGAAACAAAAGTTGCTGGAAAAGCTCAGCCGGTCTGGCAGCATCTGCGAAGAAGGGAAATCAGAGTTAATGTTTCAGGTCCAGTGGCCCTTCCTCAGAACAGTTCTGTTCTGAAACATTAACTCTGATTTCTCTTCTTCGCAGATGCTGCCAGACTGACTGACCTGCTGATTTTCTCCAAAGTTTTCTGTGTATCAAATTTCCAGCGTTGGCAATAATTTGCTTTTGTTTGAGACAGATAGATTATTGATGAGTAGGGGAATCAAGTGTTCTGAAGAAATGGCAGGAAGATAGACGCGAGGAATGTTGGATCAGCCACGATTCTATTGAATGGCAGAACAGGCTTGAGGGACCAAGCAGCCTGCTCCTGTGGGATAGTAAGAGCTGCTGATGCTGGAGTCTGAGATAACACAGTGTGGAGCTGGAGGAACGCAGCAGGCCAGGCAGCATCAGAGCAGGAAAGTTGATGTTTCGGGTCGGGACCCTTCTTCATAAATGGCCTCCTGGTTCCTATTTTTTATGATCTTATGAGGGTTAGTTTAACAATCAGATAAGTGAAAGCTGCTCAGTGGTACAAAAGGATTGCCAGTAAGATGTGCCACATATCTCCAGCAGTTCTGCATCCAAACACCGCACTGTACATAGATAAGAGATAACAAGGTGTAGAGCTGGATGAACACAGCAGGCCAAGCAGCATCAGAGGAGCAGGAAGGCTGACGTTTCAGGCCTAGACACTTTGGACAGCTGAGAACCAGAGGTTTGAAAGCTCTCTGCTGGCATTGGCCTCTGGCGATCTGATGCAGCTCCTGTATCTGTCACCAGAGGGCAGAGCTGACTGGTCCACACAGACTGTGCCCCGCAGTGGTGTGCCCCGCAGCGTGCCGCGGGTTTATGTGTCCGGGCTCCCACCCGTCCCGTCACACGATGTCCTCCGGGTATTTCCCAACACCCCCGACCAAAGGTTCCGGCCGGCGGTGACATGGCGTTGACAGAGTCGGGGGCGAACGCGCTGCAAAACGCCATGAAGTTGGCGAGAGCCGCGATCCAGTTAGACACGGAGAGCAGGCAGAAGGTAAGAGGGGTGGGGGGAGGAAGACAAAAGGCGGGGGAAAGGTCAGCTGGAGCTTTTTCCGGGAGGGGAGGTGAGGCCTAGACACAGCCTCGGTCGGAGTGGATCCTCGGGCTAGAGTTCCTGTGCAGGCCGGGACCAGGGCGGGTGTGTGGGGGCACTGACTGCAGTAGCAACCCCGGGAGAAGGTCAAAGCTTTAATGTTTCTCCATACTTTTTAATATTAGATTGAAAGGATTCCGTGACATTGGAGCACAGTTATTAACCATTCATATTTAAATTGTCAGCCTAACTGCACCAAAACTGACAACTTTCCCTTATTTATATGGCGATGAATGTATAACTGGTATTTAGTTTTCTTTAAGGAAAAGAGTTTAATGTTGGACATATTGCCTTTACTCCTGTGACAGTTCCTCTCCCACCCAGGGGAGTATCTCTATTGGATTGTAAACAGAAGGCAAACCCACTGAAGCTTTGTTCATCCCCCTAATCTGTTGGCTGAGTTCAAATCTTCTTGTTCAGCTGACGGGGAGCTGTGAGCTTCCAGGTCTGTGACCTTTAGGATCACAGCTTGAATCGTCAGGTGTCTCAGAATTATTACAATACAGAAGGAGGTCATTCGGCCCATTGTGCTAGCAACAGCTCAGTTATGTCTTGTGCCAGTCTCCTGCCTTTTCCACATAACTCTGCTCACTGTTGTTATCCGAAAAAGCCCCCCATCCAATGTCACATTTCCAGACAGTGCGTTTCATACCCTCACAACTCGCTTCTCTGCCGTTACTCTTACTTTGTTTGCACATCACTTGACTTGTAGATCAGGTAACTGTACCTCCACCATAACACTCAACATTGGAGCCCCCTAAGGATGCGTCCTCAGCCCCCTACTGTACTCCCTGTACACCTACAACTGTGTTGTCATATTCAGAATGAATGCCATCTACAAGTTCACTGATGACACCACCATAATGAGCAACTACTATTTTGACTGTTTAATGCCAAACTATGTCTGTTTTCACAGATGCTCCTGCTTGAGTCCATTATAACCCTGTAAACTCTCCAGAATGCTTGGGACTGTCATTTATGGATTTTGCTATCTGCTAGATTATAAATTATGGTAGAATTCCTAAGCTGGAGTGTGTGAATCTGAAAACAGTGTAGATGTAAATATTTACCTGACACACAATACATTGATAAAACACTATGTAACAGTCATAAGAACAACTTTAAAATACTGTAATTTGCAGCTGCAAAATAATGCCAGGAGTTGCATGGACCTGCTGAAACAAATTCTGGACTAGCAATGTTTTCAAACAGTATATTTCCAGAGTGGAGAGGTTACATCTACAGTATTTTTCCTTTATCATGATTAGTTGTATCATGAGACACCATAGGTAGCTAGACTGAAATATACAGATGTACTTAAGATCCAGTGGTACACTTTTACATGCAGCTCTTCTTTTTATATTTCCATTATAATTTCCTGTGTCCTTACTTATAACAGAAACTGCCAATGTCAACGTGTCACTCTGTAAAGAATAAAACTATTCTTGAAAGCTTCAATAATTTTGCTGCCCATTCCATGAACATTACTGAAGTAAATGTTTCCAAAACACTATACTTGGAACATTAAAATAGCTGTTCTCTCCACAGAAAATCTGACTTTTGAGCCAGAATTTTTAGGTCTTTTTTTTTAGCAGATTTGCACCATGTGAGGTAGAGCACCATCATTGGTGGCATGCACTTCTAATGAGGGCGATTGCGTGCAGAGATCTTCACGGTGGAGTGGGGTGCAAGTCCAGCTGGATTTGCAGTCTGCCAAGCCAACACGGGTACTTTCACTGCAAATGTGGACCAAATATGGGGCGGTACGGTGGTTTGATGGTTAGCACTGCTGCCTCTCTGTGCCAGGGACCTGGATTCATTTGGGCAGCTGACTGTGTAGAGGTTGCATATTCTCCCTTTGTCTGTGTGGATTCCCTCCGGGTACTCCAGTTTCCTCCCATAGTCCAAAGATATGCAGGTTAGGTGGATTGGCTGTGCAAAATTGCCCATAGTGTCCAGGATGTGCAGTCTAGATGGATTAGCCATGGGACATACAGGGTTACAGGCATATCATGGCGGGGTGGGTGGTGTAGGTCTGGGTGGGATGCTCTTTGGTGGGTTGGTGTGGACTCAATGGACCGAATGGCCTACTTCCACACCGTAGGGATTCTGTGATTCTAAGAACTGTATAATGGAAAAGTTGGTATGAAATTCAGTGCAGATGCAAGAGTTTTAATATGAATTCATATATATGTCTCTAAATGCCAAAATACAACCAGTTTGAGTTTTGCCAAAACTGATGAGCAATTATCAACATTTTTTATTAAGAAAAATTATTATGTTGAGTTAGTCCATGATTAAATAATGCAGATAAAGTTAGTGGCCCAAGGTGAGATAAAAGAACCAATTTCATAGCAAGAGATAACTTGATTACGAATCTTTTGACACCGTTGATCAGAAATAGAGAAGATCTTCTTCAGCAATCCATGTGTTACTGAGCTGACTTTCAGCTGTTTCCAGGAATACTTACAAGCAGTGTAAAAATTCTAGAAAGCTTTGAACTTAAATTTAACTTCAACTTAAGTTAAACCAAATATTTAAATGGGAAAGGCGGTGACAAATGTAAAGAAATGAAGGCGAAGATCTGCTTGTACTCAAACAGAAAATTATGTCATATTCATGACATAATTATTATTCAGTGTAATTTCAGAGTGAGATCAGGAAGAAGAGATCCCAGCCAGGCTGAGACACACCGGAGTGAGAATATAATTCAGTGAATTTGGTGCAAAGGAGTAGAGGTGCTGTTTGGTTGCATTTTTCTTGGTTCATAGCTTGTAAGGTTTGTTAACAGTATAAATTGAACAACAGGATTAGGGGCCCAGCACAGAAGAGTGGCATCATAGTTAAACAATAATTTCATTGGTTGGTAATAGCTATCAAATTGATTATTGGCACAGAGACTCAGAGGTTAGCACTGCTGCCTCACAGTGCCAGGGACGAATCCATCCTTGGGTTACTGAGTGTCAATGTGGAGTTTGCACATTCTCCCCTTGTCTGCATGGTTTTCCTCTCGGTGCTCTGGTTTCCTCCCACAGTCCAAAGATGTGCAGGTTAGGTGGATTGTCCATACTAAATTGCCCATAGTGTCTAGGGTAGGAAATGCAGGGATAGGGTAGGGAGTGGGTCTGGGTATGATGCTGTTCGGAGGGTCAGTGTGAACTCAATGGGCCAAATGGCATGTTTCCACACTGTAGGGATTCTATTATTCTATGATTATCTATTATGGGTTACTTTCAGAATAAAGGTCAATCAGGGAAATATTTACAGACCAAAAGAAAATTTTGAAAAGTCAAATTAAGAACTAAGTCATTAAAATAGATGATTTGGTTTAGATGATTTGATTTAATGTAGTCACATATACTGCTCGCAAAACAAAACTTTTCACTCTACTTAAACAAACCTAAGTACAGTGAAAAGTTCTGTTTTGCGAGCAGTACAGGCAGATCATGGCATACAAGGACATAGAGATCATAGGGTGTTAGTAAAAGCGAGGCACATAAGGTTACGGCTGCACAAGACATGCATAGAACTAGATCAACATTAGCAAGATCAACATTATTTGAAGTTAGAGAGGTCGATTCAGCAGTCTAATAACAGCAGGGAAGAAGCTGTTCTTGAACCTGTTGGTGCATGTGTTCAAGCTTCTGTATCTTTTCTGATGGAAGAGGTTGGAAGAGAGTATTCCCGGGTTGGGAGGGGTCTTTGATGATGTTGGCAGCCTTTCTGCAGCAATGAAGATGTAAATGGAATCCATGGATGGGAGGTTGGCTTCCGTGATGCTTTGTGCTGAGCACACAACTTTTGTAGTTTCCTACAGTCCTGGGCAGAGCAGTTGCCCTATCAGGCCATTATACACCCGGATAGAATGCTTTCTGTGGTGCTTCTGTAAAAGTTGTTGAGGGTCCTTTTGGATATGCCAAAATTTCCTCAGCCGTTTCAGGAAGAAGTGGCATCGTTGAGCTTCTTAACCGTCGCATCTATGTGGGAGGTGCAGGACAGATTGTTGGTTATTATCACTCCTAGGAACTTGATGCTCTTGAGCCTCTCCACCTCAGCTCCATTGATGTAATTAGTCGCATGTGGAGATGCTGCGCCAGACAGTGTGTTCTAACTGCAAGATGTGGGAGCTGGCAGATCCCATTGTGGTTCGTAATGACCATATCTGTAACAAGTGTTGGCTGCTTGAAAAACTCTGCCTCGGAGCTGATGACTGGAGTCTGAGCTTCAAACGCTGCGACACATTGGGGAAGGCGAGAGTTATCTAGATGTTGTGTTCAGAAGGCAGTCACACCCCTTACATTAATGACCTCATTTGGTCAGTGGACAGGAGGGTGTGACCACAGGTGAGGCAGGTAGAGGGATTCGAGAGGTAGTGCTGAAGGAGCCTCAGCCCCAGAGTTTGTCTAATAGGTTTGAGATTCTTTCTCCTTATGTGGATGTGAGTGCGGGCTGTAGAGAGGATGAACAAAATGACCATAGCGCCATGGTACAGGGAGCCATTCAAGTTGGGGGATAAAAGAGAAATATAGTTGTAATCAGGGTTAGTATTGTCAGGGGAGTAGACACTGTTCTCTGTGGCCAAGATCAAGAATCCCAAAGGCTATGTTGCCTACCTGGTGCCTGGGTTCAGGTTATCTCATCTGGGCTGTGGAGGAACTTGGAGTGGGAGTGGAAAAATCCAGTTGTTGTGGTCCATGTGGGTATCAATGATATAGGTAGAAAGAATGAGGTTCTGCTGAGAAAATATGAGCAGCTAGGTGCTAAATTAAAAAGCAGAACCAAAAGGTAATAATCTCTGGATTACTACTTGATCCATGAGCAAATTGGCACAGGATCAATAAGACTAAAGAGATAAATGTGTAGTTTAAAGATTAATGTGGGAGAAATAGGCGTGAATTCGTGGGACGTTGGCACCAGTACTAGGGAAGGAGGGAACTGTTTCGATGGGACGGGCTCCACCCGAATCATGCTGGGACTAGAGTCCTTGCAAATTGCATAACTTGGGCTATGGATAAGGCTTTAAACTAAATAATGAGGGGGTGGGTTTAGTTGAATGGAAAATTATGGAAGTGGTTAAGTGTGGTGGGGGGACGGGCTCAGTGGAGGTTCAAGTTTCCAGAGTAAGTAATAGGACAGAAGAGTATGGAAAGGGTCAGGAACCACAATATGAGAGAATCCACCCTGCAGTTTGAGAGGGGGCGGGGAAAAGCTGGAATCAGATGTAATGGTATTATGATTGAGTAAAAGTAACTACAAAGACAGGAGAGAAGAGCTAGCCAGAGTTGATTGGAAGGGGAGTTTAGCAGAAAAGACAGTAGAGCAGGAAAGTTTGGGGGAAATTTGGGAGGAACAGCAGAAATTCATCCCAAGGAAGAAGAAACATGCTAAGGGGCGGAAGAGGCAACGATGACGACAAAGGAAGTCAAGGACAGTATAAAAGCAAAAGAAAAGGCATACAATGTGTGAAGATTAGAGGGAAGCCAGAGGATTGAGAAGACTTTAAAAACCAGCAGAGGACACTTGAAAAAGCAATGAGCAGGGAGAAAATGAAATAATGCGAGTAAGCTAGCAGGTAATATAAAAGAAGATTGCAAAAGATTTTTTAGGTATCTAAAAATTACGAGAGAGGCAAGAGTGGATATTGGATCATTGGAAAATGAGGCTGAAGAATTAGTAACCATGGAATCCCAACAGTGCAGGTAGAGACCATTGGTCCATTGATTCTGCACCGATTCTCCAAAGAGCATGTGACCCCTCATTTACCATGACTAATCCACCTAGTCAGTTTAGGTTAGGGCTATGTCATTAAAGGGCTAGTCGTATGAGGAGTGGCTGAGAATTCGGGGTCTGTATTCGATGGAGTTTAGGAGGATGAGGGGGGATCCAATTAAAGCTTAAAGAATACTGAGAGGCCTGGATAAAGTGGACATGGAGAAGATGTTTCCACGAGTTGGAGATATTGGGACCTGAATGCATAGCATCAGAGTGAAGACTTTAGAGCTGAGACTGAGGAGGGATTTCCTCAGCCAGGTGGTGGTGAATTTGTTTAACTCATCACCACACAAGGCTGTGGAGGCCAAGTCATTGTGTGTATTAGAGACAGAGATAAATAGCTTCTTGATTGGTTAGGGGATCAAGGTTTATGGGAGAAGGCAGGAGAATGGGATTGAGCAACATATCAGCCATAATTGAGTAGTGGAGCAGACTTGATGGGCTGCATGGTCTAATTCTGTTCCTATTTCTTATGGTATACATACCAAAATAAATGATCATTTTAAACCAATGTATCTGAGATAACCTGCTGAATTCTATGCTCAATCATGCAAATCAACTGGGCTATTCAATTTGTGAGTTTTATTTAGATCCTGTTAATTTGCCTCATGTAAGTCAGCATAGTACTAGTGCAAGTTAATTTGGCAAAGCTTCTCTTTGAGTGTCTTCACCAGTTACATGAATTGTATTGAAACGAGTATTCTAAAATCAATGCTTCGTGGTTCACTTTCTTTTGTTATTAACAGGAAGCTTATTGCGAATACCTGAAGAGCATAAACTTTATTTCACAAGCTTTATTAGAAGATGCCCAATCGAAAGGTAATGTTGCTTGTCAGATTTGCAAATTATACACTTTCTTTACGATTTTTTTTTAATGTTGTTAGGGGCTGCATCAAGTGTTGATCTTTGTAAATACAAAACATTCAAATAAACCAAATGCGAAGGTATTTAAAATTAATCATTTGTTGCAGATGAGATGGAGCTGGTAACACCTGAAATGCAAAAGATGCTGAAATTGGCTGATCAGTGCTTGGAAAGAATTAAGACCACTGCTGCCAGACTCGGTGAGTATTATATTTTACATTTCATGGATAATTATTTCTCTTAAAGGAACAAAACAACTTCATTGCCATGTGTCCTAAAACTGCAAATTGTATCAACATAGTGACTTTAACATAGAAAAACATCCCAAAGCTCTTCTGAGGTACTAAAAACATAAATGTCAAGACAGAGATCCAGAGGGTGATCAAATAAATGCCTGCTAGAATAGAGGGATTTCAAGGAGGATCTTACTGGAGTTCGGGGCACAGAAGAGAGTGCATATTTTTGGAAAGGATTTGCAGAATGTTGGAGCCTCAGTGCCACAAACCACAGTCACTGATGGTATCCAATGATAGGGTGAAAAGGAACCTACAAGTAAAATAAAGTTTGTAGGAAACGTTTGTAGGGCAGGAACAAGTCATAAAGATAGCTTGTGGTAAGACCATTAAAGACAGGGAAGAAAATTTATAATTTCGAGTAATTGAGGCCTAGGGGCCAGTATTAATCAGTGACAGTAAAGGTGAGCGGGTCTTACTGTGGGATGAAATAGTGTGTCAGTAGATTGATCAGAAGATGGAAGATGTGTGGGAGCATTGGAATTCTTGAGTCTGGAAGTGGCAAAGGCGTGGATGAGAGTTTCAATGATAGGGGCTGAGGCAGGGATTAGTGTTATAGAGGGGGAAGTAGGTAGTCCTTGTGACTGAGCAGCATAAAAGAAGTTGCCAGCCTTCAATATTGCTAACTTAATTTAGAATTGTGCAAGTTACAAATAAGTTATTGTGCCAAGAAACAAACTTTATATTGTCTTCTGTTTAACCGGGATTAAGATTATTAAAAAGACAGTAGGTGCCAATTTGCTATTGCTGCCCCCACAAGCTTTTCAGACACAGAACCACCATTAAAAATTGCAAGTATTCACTTAATAGTGTAAAAAAAAAATCGGTTTTAAAAACAAACAATAAAGCACTGATTTTAAGACTATATTCCAAAATCTTTTTAAACATTTATTTCAGTAAAGATTTGGGTGATGTTATAGTTCAAGTGCAGAGAAAGAACTTGAAAAGGAAGATATTTAAAAGACATTTGTACGGCTACGTGGATAGGAATGATTTAGAGGGATATGGGCCAAGCGCGGGCAAATGGGACTTCTTCAATTTAGAAAACTTGGTCAGCATGGATGAGTTGGGCCGAATGGCTTATTTCCCTGCTATACGACTCTATGATATTCTGGGCTTTTCTCCTCATACTTTTAAGTCATGTTCACAGCAAAAGATTCCATTCGCAGAACAAGTTTCCTGTGAACCAAAGTCCATTGTCTTTATATATTCCTGAAATGGACTAACCTGCTACTTGATCACTAAATGGCCTTTGCACCAGAGAACATGAGGGATACCCACAACATTAACCTTTCTGTCAAAAGCTGGTAAATACTAGCCCAAAATGTTCACGTGAAACACATAGATAAATTTAACAGTGAGAATATGAACAGACATGTTTTAAATATAACAAACAATCAGAAAGTAGAATAATGGATCTGGACACTTTATGTTTTGTTTCACAACAAAGAAGATGCTGGAAATCTGAAACAAAAACAAAGTGCTGGAGAAACTCGGGTCTGGCAGCATCTGCAGAGAGAGAGAAACAAAGCTAACGTTTCAAAGGCTCACTGAAACATTAATACTTTTTTTCTGTCTACTGATGTTACCAGATCTGCTGAGTTTCTCCAGAGCTTTCTGTTTTTGTTTCAAATATTTTGTGATGTTTTCCTTTAGTCTGTGATAAAATCTCTGAAGGATGTTACGTCAATGACAATTCCATAGATTGCTGTTAATGTTCTCATGTGCTACAGGCCATTCACAGCAGTCAGCTGAATACCGTGGAATTGAGTTTGCTTTATGTAAGGGCACAATCCATCTGTCATGCAGTCAAGGCAAATCAGGTCCAGTCCTCATATACATTTCAATGATTTTTAACAGTGTGGAATCTGAGTTTCTCTTGAAAGAAAATTCTTTGAAACATTCAGTTATTTAGAATATGAAGAAAGCCACAGTTATAAAGCATTTTTCGCAACTACCAGAAATTTCAAAGCACTTCACAGTCAAGAACGTTTTTAAAGTGTAGTCATTTTATGGAAATATGGCAGTCAATTTGTACTCAGCAAGCTCCCACCAACAGCAATATGATCATGACTACGTAAATGTTTGAGCTTGATTGATAGATAAATTGGCCAAGACACCAGAAAATTTCTCTTGTTCTTCGTCAGAATAGTGGCATGGGATCTTTTATATCTACCTGAGAGGGTAGGTGAGGTCTTAGTTTAAGACCTTATCCAAGGCACCTCCAGTGATAGTGCACTCCCTCAGTAATGCACTGGAGTGTCATACTTGATTTTTGTGCTCAAGTCCTGAACTTTGTCATTCATTTATCTGCAAGCTTACATACCCACCGCAATTAAATCCGTTTCTGTATCTGATTGAGGTGAACTGAAGTCAGCATGTAAAATACCCACTATTTAAAGGACCAATAGTTTATTTACCAGCAAAAACCAAGTTTTTTCATCCAGACTCACCTATAGCTGAGAAAAGCACGCGTGTGTTCTCTAGGATTGATGAACTGCAGTTTCAATTGTTTCAATGTTGCATAGAAAAACATACAAACTTCTTAATGCCTAATGCAGCATCAGAGTTCTACCTCCAATTCAGTTTAAATGCTGCAATATGATTTGTTGTTTTTCACATTTAGTGCATTGACATAATGAAACTTTTCCTCTGGTCATGCAGTGCACACAAACTGTCCGTTGTGTTGATGCTTCAAAAGCTCGTTGATGTTGCATTAATTTTGACATGATTTTTCTATGTGATGGAAAGTAAATTAACACCATACGTAAAATAATTTCATGCATTTTTATTAGCAGTGAGTGGCAATTTGGTTAAAAGATTTTCTTTAATTTTGCATACAAGAGAAAAATGTCCCCTGCAGTGAACTATTGAAGTTCTTCATTGCTGTTTGCCGTATGTCTCGTAGGTAAAATGGAAAATAAGCCTGCAGCAAGCCAAGACATCAAACCTTCATACACACCAAGTCATCGTAGAGTTGCCTCTGATGGAGGAGGAAATACTACATCATTTTTAGCTCCTGAAGGCTTAAAAAAAATGCAGACTGCAGAAATGCTGATAGCCAAAAGGTTAGAGTGAGTAAGTAGAAACACACATTCTTAAGAGAGGTTTTTGACACTCAGACAGAAGCAGCTCAGAGCCCGAATCTCTGAGGGACACTTGTGGGAGCTGACTCCATAGACTGCTGTTAAGTACTCCACATGCAGGTACTCTAGATTCCACAGCTTAAATGCCCATTGAGTATGGTTCCTGCTGACATGTTACTCCGTGGCTGATATTCATATTTAGATTGAAAGTGCAGGATATTATTTGGACACAGATTAATAGTGCTTTAAGATCACTTTCAACAAGTTTGTCATAAAATCTAATGCTTCACTTAATGCATGGCAGTGAAATAGTCCTTCATCTTATGATTCAGGAGGGGAATTATTGTTGACTGTTTCTTCTTTGCCTTCAGACCTTTATGGTAGTAAAATGTTATGGTTTCGTCATGAAACTATCTAAATGCAAACCATGCTACAGTCATCAGGGATCTGTCCAATACACTTAAACCCACCTCACAACCGAGTGCCCTGTTTGTATTAGCTCAGATGAAAATCACCCAACTACAAAGATCAAGTTAATGTTTTAACCAGGAATCCAGTCTTTGGATTTACTACAAAAATCCTCAGTCCTCTCAACTTCATGGCACTATTGTTTCATAAAAGAACAAACTCAGATGCTGGAGATCTGAAACAAACAAAAACAGAAATTGCTGGTGAAACTCTGCAGGTCTGGCAGCTTCTCTGGAGAGAAAACAAAGTTGACATTTTGGATCCAGTGATCCTTCTTCGGAATTAGAAGCAGCTAGGAAAAGATGGTCTCTATGCTAATGACAGGGTTGGGCGGGGGGTGCGGTGATGAGAAAAAGGAGTAAGCGGATAGGAGGAGAAGGATCCCAGAGAAAGGGGGTGGTGGGGGGAGGAAGGTCGACAAAGGGAATATTGCTAGTCAACCAGGGAAGAAGGGAAGCAAACTGGAGAAATAATACTTCAGCTTCCTTTTAAGGGCCTACAGCTTTAAGGACTCAACATTGTGTTTAACAATTTTACAGCATGAGCCTACTTCCATGTCTGTTAGTCACCTCCACACCCCAGCTCTTGTCATGACATAGGCTGCTCTCAGCACAGCCAAACCATTTTCAACTATTGTACTCAGAGCCCCCTTTATTACCAAACTACCTACTTTCCTGCCTACTCTCATCAATCCCTTGATCTGCCTACCTTTTTTTCTATCTTTCCCTGGGCTCCCTCTACACCTATCCGTGCTCTCCTTCACCCACCCCCACCCTGCCAGAAACAGCAATTTCTGTTTTTTGTCTGTTTTGGGACTGTTGTTTGCCAGCTTCAAGTATGAATAACCTAAATGATTGAAGATACAAGTTTATGGGGTCTGGCAAAGCTGTAAGATCGTTAAAGAAATACACTGAATTTCTGACTACTTTTCAATTTCCTATATATTTCCTAGAGTTTGAATTTTTTTTAGAGAACATGTTGAGGATTCCCTCTCACTTATAACTAAATGTACACAATATATGGGAGATGGTGTCAAAGAATTTTAAAAAAAGAACTTGTGTGAAAGTGATCACATGTGAAAGTCGACCCATGATTTTTTTGTTTTAAAATGAATTTTTATATACCCCTGAAAAATTCACTGTGCATTTTTCAAAATTAATGTCCAAAAATTTCTGGACCAAAGTACAATCTCCATAATCACGTCAAAAACCTCAGTCTGTCTTTTATTTAAATGTGACATTTCCCTTATTTCCTCCAGTTCCTACTTGTCAGTAGAGTCAGGAAGATGTAGATTGATTTTGATTTTTGGCTGGAGGGACAAATTAAAGAACAGTGACAAACATCTCATGTGAAACAGGATACAAGGCCCAACATCAGATCAAACTTAGAATAGATCAAGACCTAAGTTTTGTGTCCTTGATTGTCATTCTCTGCCTTCTTGGTGAGGAGAGACTCAGTCCTTGCCAAAATGGATTCAGTAAAATGTCCTTGCATCAAGTTCTAGGTCAAGGTCTGGGAGCCTGTACTGTGACATCCTCCAGTTGTGCAGCCAGTTCCTTCTGTTCTGGCTCCCAAGCAGCATTGAAATCACTGGCCAAGCTGACATTATGTCTTCCTCTCCTGGGGACTGGGGGAGGCTCTTTAATAAAACAGACAGACAATAAGTGTTTGGTGTGTGAGCATTGCTTCCCCAATTATCTGTGGGTTCCTTTGAGAATCATGTTAGGTGTGCCAAATGAACGTGTTTTGGTTGAAAGTATGCCCTACAAAAACAGTACCTCTGCAGAAATTGCCTCAAAAAATTGACCATTACCTGAATATATGCAGTAAAACTTGGAAAAATTACAGTTTTGGAAAAATTGCAGTTTTAAACAAATCAGGTTATTTTTTGTGACCAAGTATATGCTGAAAATGCTTAAAAATCTGCTAAAGCCATATCTGATGTAGACAGGATGGCAGATTCTGAAAGGATGGCAAGTGTCTGATCGATATTGATATAGTTATGAGCAGGTGAACAGTTGTCCATACTTGAAGCTCAATTGTTTAAAGAATCCAGCCCTGTCCAAACATAGTATGTATTTTCATTTTAATTGTGTCCACCTGGGTTTAAACAGATTTTGCTAATTTAAGCAAAGCAGAATAAGGATTTTTTTTAAGAAATCAGATATTAAAATTTCTACCTTGTGTGTTAGTTGCATTAAATTACCTGCTTTGTTTTCAATTGCTAGAAAATATATTGCTTTATAATGAAAACAGGAGGTTTGCAAAGTATTTTTATCTTCTCTGCTAAGAATTGAAAGGCTGCTTCATTGTTTTACTTATTTGCGACACTTTAGAGAACTTACTCCATTGGAAGAAGCATCGAGACAGAACCAGAAATTAAAGGCTGCTTATGAGGCACGGATGGCACGGCTGCATCCTAAGCAGGGCATGCAGAAAACTTCACTGGTGAGTGGAATTACGTACAGAAGATTCAAAAAGTATAAAAAGCTTCATGTTTCCTACAATGTGTATTGGTTGAAATGGATTTCTAGGGATTGCTGTTTTCAGAAACTTACAGTTTTGACTTTTATGGTACTTCTTACTGCATCATTTTTCTTCGTCTATTCATTGCTCTGGTAAAACATTGATGTAGTCTCAATAATTCTGGTCTTGGTGATTTTAGAAAAATCTTAAATAGGGATATACCAATAAAATAAGACACTTGTCCAAGTAAAATTAAATGTTTTGATTTAAGTGCAGTTTTTCCCACCAGCGCACTGGTACCAAAATGTTCGCTAAATTGCATGGTCCAGCAGGTTGAAAAATATTGTTGCTTCTAAGACGGTTTTCATCTTGATTATAGGCAGCATTTCCCACGGTTTGTTTGCCTTTCAAAGCACCCTGTGATTAAGTGGAGAGAAAAAAGGTCAAAAAATAAACTGCATGTCACATGCTGAAACATGTAGTTTGTTCAGTATCATTTTATTTCAGCTTGTTCCTGTGTAGTGATAAGGCGAGATCAGTGGACGAAAAGGGTGCTAATCTGCATTTCCTTTTCCCCTGACAACTCAGAACTGGTCTTGATCCAAGCAAGTTTTGAATTTGAGAGTTTATGGTATTTAGTTTAAAAGATGAATAGTAGACTTAAACTTGCATGAATTTCAAACACTTCCTTTCTGTAAATAACATGCAGTAGTAGAGGTACCTACAATCTGTTATCATTTCCCCTAATTTTGACTATTTGTGCCAGGAAGAATTGACTGAAAACTCTCAAGTAGAACCATGAGTCATTCTAACAGTTGCACGTTTTTGTGATGTCATTAATGCTGTGGTCTGGGCTTAATATTTAACATTTATGTATATTTGCCTCATGTCAATTGTGCTGGAAAGGAGACTATCACTAAACTCTAATCTTGTTACAAGTTATAAACAAAACATAAATTATTGTTCACTATGTACCTGTGAAATCACGGAAGTAAGAAACATGAGGAATCTGCTCAGCCCATTGTGATTACGCCAGTTCTTGTCTACAGCAACTCAAAACTAACCACCGTCTACCTTTGCCTCAATCAGTTCATACGCAGAGTAGTCTGTGCTCTCAAAGTCCACAACCCCCACCTTGTGTAACTGAACGACGTTGATCTTTGTAAAATATCCATTTCTACTTAAAGTCAACAATACTGGTTCACTTATTTGACTTTCATGAATTTATTCTACTTCCAGTGCCATCTTAATTTAGTTATGGTGCTTATACGATCTAGTCTTAAATTAAGAGACCAGAATTTAAATTCTGCTTTTAGTATTGTGTTGAAAATTGTTACTTAGACTTGTTTGCTATATTAAAATTTAAAAAAAAGATGAATTTAAAAGTAATTAGATTGACTTTCTTAAAACGTCTGATTTGAAGCATGCACTTTCAACTGTTTCTCATGTGAAGTGTTGGATGTACAATGTAAAAGGCAACAGGTTAACCAATTATTTGCAACAAGAAAAATTAAAAATAATTTCAGAAATATTAAAACCTCATGGCTTGCATACATATTGTATGTTTGCAGTTTTTTTAAATGCTGTTATTTTTGAAATCTAAAGTTTAATTCATTTTAAATGTTTTATTACCCATATGTTTGGCTATTGAATTAATTTATTAACGTTTTAGTTCATAAGGTCATTGTTTTACTCAACACTGTCAGATCATTAGGAACTTTTCAGTTACCTATTAGCATCTAATTAGAACCATGTATTGACTTCATTTACTCCCAACCAATTAAAAATTCTGAGTATTTTTAAAAGAATTGGAGAACAGCACTCTGCTGTTTGTTGACTGAGTGTGGATCTTGTTACAATGCTACAATTCCAGTTAGCGATTAGTACCTTCAACCTGACTTTAGCTTGGTTTATTATGTTGTGTGTTAAATGTTTGTTTTTTGCTCTCTTTTCTCCATTTTGTGATCACTAGAAGAGGTTAAAAGCAGGTACAGTTAGGTTGGCTTATGTGATGATTGCAGTGTGCTTTTAAGTCTATCTTCTTACTAATTATCAATAATTGAAACTGCTTTTTTCAACTTACATTATGTTAATTTATATCACTTAACATTTTGATGTACGTTTTGCCATTTGAAGTCTTATTTCAATATATATTGTTATTGGTTGCTTGGTTTGAAGAAAATAAAATGTAAACATTATTTATTACAATTGGAGCTAATAGAATGGAAAATTGAAAGTTAAGTCATTCAACATTTGAAAGCCTTCCAATGTTCAGTTTGAAATCAGCAATGAGACAGTTGTGAGAGGATATTTGTTGTTTTCTCAGTGGCGGTGGTGGAGGGAGGGAGGAAAAAGGAAAAGCTGAGTAAACAATTTAGAGACTAAGATTAAAATTTTACAATAGGGTTCTTGTACTTTACAATTTCTTTTAAGTTATATGTGGTTAGCATTCTCTATATCTCACAGACTAGCTGCCACTAAAGAAAAGTTTCCTGTTAGGGTTCTTTGATGTTGACTATTGACCCTTTCTTCTATTCTTCGGCATATGGAGAATGTCTGCCCTCTATAGTTGGCGAGTTCATTCCTGCAGCATACAACTGTTTACTTGCAAGTAGTCATTTCTGCAGGACATTAAAGAAACTGGAGGTTTTTAAATTAATTCACAGAATATGGGTTTAACAGCTAGGTCAACAGTTATTGCTCGTCTCTATTTGTCCTTGAGAAGCTGACAACAAATAGTTGTCTTGAACCACAAAAGCCTTTAGAAAGAAAGATACTCACAGAGTGCTGTTAGTCATTCAATTTTTTTTTAGCTGTGATATGCTCAAGGATGTCCTTGAGTTTTGAAAAGTGTGGTGTAAGTGAAGGTTTTTTTCTTAATTTCCGCTCATCTTTTGACTTTGTTACAATGCACGATCCCATGTTTCAAAAGCTTTTCTGCGTTGTTAGCCAAAAGGATCTTTATTGTAAACCCATAGAGGATAACTTAGTATAGAAAATTGTACTTTTTGCATTTTTGCCCAATTTCAGTCTCCTCAGTTGAATTGTCCATTAACACAGGTAATTTCTTTTCCCTATATCTTTACAATAATTAACTAAACATTTCCAATTTATTTTGATCTGATGGATAATGATTTTCAAAACTAATATTGGTAAGTGAGAGGTAAAAGTAATGAATTACCTTTCCAAAATTCAATGAATTTGGACTGAATTAATTTGAATTAATTTGCATCTTTCAAAATGTTCACATTTGTCTTGGAGTTGGATATGCATAACACTGAACGCCAAAGCTAACATTCAATAAGGGGTAGAAAAGTAAATGGTGATACATTTATTTTTTGTGAACTAGAGCATTAGTTTGCAGGACTGGAAAAAAGATTAGCTTTCTGTAACTGGTTTTCAAGTGAATCATGAAATCAAACTGCTGAGTAACTAAGCACAGTGAACCAAGTCAGGTAAAAGTGTGGCTATCATCCTCACAGATGGAATTACGTTTTACTTATGACTTTTGTTAAAATATCTATCGCCGAAACAAAGCATAAACATTTTCACATTGACTTTTCTTGTCAAAACGTGTTTTCATTTTCAGACATTGTCTCTTCAGCGACAGATGATGGAGAATTTGATCATTGCACAGGCAAGACAGGCAGCTGTATCCTTTTATTATAGTGACATTCTTCAGTGCCAACCAATTTAGGATTGGTCAGGTTTCATTTTGAACTTTGCCAAAGTGTTTATGAATGATAGCTGTGGTTCAGTGGGATAATTTTTAGAATTTCTTGTTCACTATAAATACAGTAGCACTTGAATTCCCATGAGTGGTTCACTTCACATCTTTATCCTAAATTCAATTCATCAGGATAACTAAAACAAAAATAACCTGCATTTGAATTACAAGGAATACAAAATACTTGTGCTTTGATTTTGAAGTAATTACCCTTGGCAAGCTTTGCTGAGATGCTAGCAGTTGTTTCATCTTGCATTAAGAAACTGGTAGAATACAAAAATCGCTTAGTCCAGTGAAATATTATAATCACTTTACTTTGTGCATTTATTCATTGTCTATCTGAGTAGGATAATCCTTTCTTGTTTCAATAATTGCCTACCTAACACCAACTTTAGTAATGATTTTTGATTCCATCTTGCACCATTGTCTCTGATCCAAAACTCCTTCCATTTAAACAATGGAAAGGGCAAAGCCATTGTCTTTAACCCTTGCCACACTTCCCTTCATCCTATGCAACCATGGGCATTGTCATTAATTGATTTTAACTATTAACAACGTCAGTGTTTTGTTTGATCCTAAACTGAACTTCTAACCTTAGTTTCTCCATCTTACAAATATTACCCACTTGCAGTGTTCTGAAGAAGAGTCATTCCAGACTCAAAATATTAACTGTTTTCCTGTCCATAGATGCTGCCAGTCTTGCTGAGTTTCTCCAGTATTCTGTGTTTGTTAGCTTTCATCCATGTAACATCAGTCAACTAGACACCATTTTGTTCGGTGCATCTATCACATTGGACACTCCTATCTGACCTCTTATTCTAACCATTCATAGACCTTTGCTCACCTAAAACTCTGCCTGTATCCTAAGACCATACCAAGTCTTTCTTGTCTGACATCCCTCTGCTCATGAGCTTGCAATTGGTCTGGTATTCAAAATTCTCATCCTCATATTCAATCTATGTCATGGTTTTTTTTTCCCAACTCTGTCTCTGCATCCTGCCTGCAGCAGCCTCAGTAATTACATCAAGTTGGTAAGATTAGTCACTTCATGTTTTTTTAACCGTAAAAGTCTCACACAACACTTGTAGTGCTTTGTAACTAGTCCCTTTTATTGAATGCAGCAATGTGCAGACATTAGCCTTGTTTTCATTTAGAGAGATTGACCCTGCTTTGGAAAGGGTCAAACAGTTGATTTAGGACTAAGAAACCTGATTAGATGCGTTACCTCTTCCACACCTTTTTCAACACTCCTATCTTTCAAAACAAGGTGGAGTAATGTTTACCGGCTTGAACAGTTAACTCTGGGAGCTTAAGGTTATTTGGTTTTTTTCAATTGAGAGAAAAGAGATAATAGTGTATTTTTAAAGTGATAACTTATTCCTTTACATTCTGCGTAACTTTAAATATTCTCGGAACCATGTTGCTTGAAAGTTACATCAATTGAGCGAATATCCATAACAGTGTAACTTACAGCTGCAAAGAAAGATGGAAGAACGAAGACTGAGACTTCAAGAAGAAGCCAACAGGTGATAAAGTCTTAAAGCTGTGACATCAGTGTGATTTTTCAGCACGCCACGTAACTGGGCATCTACTATGTCAGAGGTCTTGTGACACAGCGGTTAATGCCCTGCCTCTGAGCCGAAAGCTTGGGGTTCAAATCCCACTCCAACACTGGGTGGTTATGGAAGATGTATTCATAACCTGGTCAACGAGGTTGATTAATCAAACTGTGAATCCTTCCAAAAATCTGTGGCACATGGCCAGAGCATGACAACTAATGGTCAATCATGCGTGTTACGGAGTAATGCCCATTAAACTATAGACTCTGGCAACAAGTGAGCATCTGTGTCAGGAAACTTAGCAAAAAAGAGATGTAGACACATGTTGCATCTGCTTCATATACCGCTGAGCATGGGAAGGGGATGAAATAAGAATTGATAACTGCACTCGTCTTGTTTATTTTAAAGAACGTTTTCTTATCTAGAAAATGGATTTACATATTATCAAAATTCTATTGGCAAGAAAACATGAATGGAGACTAGATAAACAAATTTTAACTCTTGGCAACTCCATATGAAAAATCTCTGTTTGCAGTTCAGATTTTTACTGTTGGGCCACATTTGAATGATGTTCCTGGGGAAATCAACAGCTAACTGAGGTGGTTAAATGAAGATTACGGGTTCAATGCACTGCTTTCTGGGACTAAGATTGTCAGCAGCAATCTAATCTGTGGACAGTAACGACCCTTGCAGTTGAGGAAAGGGCTGGAGACCCTAAGGAGGCAGAGCCTAGATTTTGCTTGCCCTTGTTCTTCCACGTCCCACAAAATAACTTTTTTCTTAATTTTCCTTGGAGGGCTTATTTGCATCCCAAAGGTTCCGCTGAGAGTATGGCTGTGGTAAACACACACAATGGATTAAAATTCCATTAAAGTCCCATGTACATTACCTGTTGGACACAAGGAACTATTGGAGATTACTGAAAAGTGCTTATGGTTTGAGGTAAATTTTCAGTGCATTACTGGTATTAACAGCTGATCCTATCTCTGCAGCTTTGTTCTCCCACCCCAAAACCCATTTCCCACTGCTACCCCTCCCCATCAAACCAGGTCTCCTCACGCTGTCGGTTCTGCAAAGAATCTGCTACATTTTGCCATCTTCTCCACTTTGATCAGCATTTTGCCTGCAATTACTCCTTTAGCACTGTCTGATCATTGACTTTATTTGAAATGAGACCCCAAACTGCTCCTGATGGTGACAGGATTGCTCCATCCACCATCTCACCAAAAGTTATTCAAAATGAAAAATGACCAGAGATTATATGAACTTATGTTTTGCCCAATCCAGTGTGATCCTATTCCTTTTCTTCCATTCTTTCAATCTGTTGGGTTGATAATTTCTGTCTAAAGAGTACATCTTGGGTTTTGCTCATGTACATGCGACACAAAAGTCTATTTTAGTTTGCTTATTGAGTGAGAATTTGGTGTAGGAATAAGGGAAGTTATAACAACAACAATTTGTATTTAAACTGCATCTTTAAAAGTGAAATGTCCCAAAGCACCTAACAGGAACATTATCAGGCAAAATTTGATATTGAAGCACATGAAGAAATATTAGAATAGATGCCAACAGTTGGGTAAAAGAGGTATTTTTAAAGAGCATCTTAGAGATGAATAGAGAATATTGGCAGTCAGTGAGGTTTAGGAAGTGAATTCTGAAGTTCAAGACCTATGTAGCTAAAGATATTGCTGTGACTAAGGTGGTGGTTGTGCAAGAGGACAGAATTGGAACAATGCAGAGATCTCAAAGGGTGCAAGACTAGAGGGAGCTACAGAGTTGGAAGAGGCATGGCCATGGATTGCTTAGAAAGCAAGAGTAAGAATTATGCAATTGAGGTGACACCAGTCCAACATTGCCATGTAAATCAGTCAAGACTTGGCATGAGTTAGAGCTTGAGCAACAGAGTATTGGACCAGCTTAAGTTTATGAAAGCTAACAGCTTTCTCTGATATTAAAGTAAATCAGAAAGCAGCTTCCCACAACCATGCATGTGCAGTTATATGTGAAAATCCAGAAGTAGCTGACTTGCCCTGCTTTTCCACAAGCTTCATGATACCTGTACCTTGCAGAGAGATTTTGTGTTGAAATGTGGAATGCGCAACATTGTTTCTCTTTGATGGTCAATACATGCTAAACTCAGGAAATAAAGTTTGAGCTCGTTTATTCCAGTGTAAAGTCAATATTTGTCGATGTGGTAAACCTTAATCATTGCCAATTGAGTCATTGGCATTGAAATTTACAAAGTGGAAATAATTCTGTCAAATCTTTAATTATTGCATATTTGTAGAGTTTCTTTTATCTTTGTTTCTAATCCAGTATTTTCACCTTTTTGTATTTGGATTCTATACATGACTTGACATTGAATTCACTATCTTGACACTTTCTCATTCAGACCCTGCACTGTTCATTAATTATTCTTCAATTTGGTTGCTAAAGGAGATCGACAATTGTATGCGTTGTTCACATAGGTCCTAGCTTCTCTGTAGAGCTTGCTGTGCTGAAATATATCTCTGGTTATAATAAGTTCGTATGTAAAGCTCCATAGAAAACCTGCAGGAAAGTGTACATTTTTGGCAATGCAGCTTTTTAGTGAGCATTGCAAAGAAACTCAAAAATATAACTTTGTGGCTGAGATTTGTAGATTGTTTCAAAAGTCTGCTTTATTGGATTTCTTCCACCCCTACACATACTCAGTTTGGTTGGTGACAATGCAACTTTTTTGAAGACTTTCTGTAGCAATGATTGTCTATAATGCCATAAACAGAATCTAATGCGTTTGGTTCCTTTTTAAGGAGATTTTCAAGCAGTGCCACACTTACTCCTGAAGAAGAAGAACAGAGAAATGTATACACCAGCATTTTAGAGTTTGAGCAAGACCATGTAAGTACCAAAAGAAAAACAACGTCATTCTGTTCAAATGTACTGAAACACAATAAGGGTTTAATTTCTCTAACGTAGTGTACTGCGAACCAATCAAAAAAATTTGACTTGCAAAAGTTTAGCGTAGTCTTGACTGTTTAATAAATACTCAATGCTTCCATACGCCAGTTCATTATGTTCTGTCTTTAATATTTTCTAAACAACCGGTTCGGAGACATAATGATGCTCCTCTGAAGCAGGTGGCACTTGAAACTGGCCTCCTGCCTCAGAAGTAGGGACAATATTACTGTGCCACAGAGCCCTTTTATGTTCTGTCTTTATATTTATTCAGTCAGTTCACCCCAATAACCCATTGAACTACTTGTAATGGTAATGCTGAATGCAACTTTATACATTTTACAACTGCAAAATTTGTTGTAAAAGCATTGAAGTACAATATGCCTTTGCATATAGACCCAATTCTTCTACACCAATTTTATTCAGTTTTAAATTTTAAAATAGAAGACATTATTCCATACAGAATCTGCATACACAACAGAGTTTTAAAAGAAGCAAGCTTCGTACTTAACCTTTAATCAAGGATTGTATAGTTTAACAGACAGCAGTTTATATTTATATTGTTGTAAAGATATTTTTGACTACAATTGAATGCCAGCAGCAATTGAAAAGCTTTCCAAAACCTGCGATAATTATACTTTAAATCGTTTTTCTGTAGGAATGGCCCAAACAATGGAAAATGAAGTTAAGATCACAACCTAATGACCATCTTCTGGTGGCTGGCCTTTTATCCCAAATATTGAGGTAAAGATTTTATTTAGAAGGGGATGAGTTGATAGAATTCTTGTGAAGATGTTGCAATTATGGCATTTCTCAAATTAACTACAGAAGATGAAGAAAAGTTACAACTTCTTATTATAACTAGCCTGTAACTGCAAGATTACTGCCAGTAATGGTGCTGAGGTGGAGATAGTGGAAAGCGTCAAATTCCTGGGAGTGACGATCACCCACAATCTGTCCTAGTCCACCCAGGTTGACACTACAGTCAAGAAAGCACGGTAACACCTCTACTTCCACGGGAGGCTGAGGAAATTCGGTATGTCCATAAAGTCTCTTACAAATTTTTATAGATGAAGCATAGAAAGCATCCTATTCGAGGATGCATCACAGCGTGGTGTGGCAACTGCTGTTCCCAAGACCAAAAGAAACTACAGGCAGTTGTGAACACAGCCCAGTCCATCATGTAAACCCGCCTCCCATTCATGGAAAACCGAAAGAACTGCAGATGCTGTAAATCGGGAATAAAAACAGAAGTCGCTGGAAAAGCTCAGCAGGTGTGGCAGCATCTGTGAAGAAAAAATCAGAGTTAACGTTTCGGGTCCAGTGATCCTTAGAACTTCTTCCGTAATGAGGAAGGGTCACCAGAACTGAAACATTAACTCTGATTTTTTTCTTCACAGATGCTGCCAGACCTGCTGAGCTTTTGCAGCAACTTCTGTTTTTGTTCCCATTCATTGACTTCATCTATACTTCCCAGTGCATCAGGAAAGTAACCAACATAATCGAAGACCGCTTCCACCCGGTTATACTCTCTTCCACCCTCTTCCATCGGGCAGAAGATATAAAAATTTGAATATGCATACAAACAGATTCAAGAACAGCTTTTTCCCCACTGTTATCAGACTTTTGAATGGACCTCTCTAATGTTAATATTGATCTCTCTCTACACCTTCTTGGCAGCTGTAACATTGTATCCTGCACTCTGTTCTATCACCCTGTAAAGTACGTAAGACAACACTTTTCACTCTACGTGTGACAGTAATAAATCAAATCAAAGACTAGATTATTTGAAGCACTCAGTAATCATTTAGGCCCCCATAATTCAGCGTTGGTGTTCATGCTTGATCTTCTCTTGTGCAGCCTTCCAATCTCTAGCTATGATTTCACACTTTCAGTCAACCTGTTGCAATATAGCAAGACAGTGTGAACCTCAAACTGGTTGATCATACCTCATGCCAATTCAGTTTTTGCCTTGGTCTGTTCTCAGGCAGACCGCTAGGTAGAGTACCACAAGAGCTCACTATTGTCCTGCAAATGCCCGCGAGCATTTACTAATTTATTTTTCTCAAAATTTCTTTTGTTGCATGGTGGATTTATAACAATTCTTTCTTCAAATTGATCTTCATGACTTTATTACAACCCACAAATTTTGAGCCAACATGCTGCAGAAATCTTGTTATCTATCAGGTGCATTTAAAATGTTTGGATTTCTTTTTCTTTTTATTCCCAGACATCTTTCCTTACCTTCTCTTCCTTGCCATCCAAATAAGCATAGGAGTACTCCAGACGACAGCAACAACAGGAAAATATGTAAAAGCAGAACAACTTAATGTCTGAAGAATTTTATTGGAATAAAAGCAAAGTGCTGGAGAAACTCAGCAGGTCAGGCAGCACCTGTAGCAAGAGAAATAGACTTAACATTTCCAGTTCAGAATGACTTTCATTGACTTGAAACATTAACTCTGTTTCTGGCTCGACAGATGTTCCGGGGCCATGCTGAATTCCTCTCTATTTTGTTCTGTTTTTATTTCAGATCTTCGGTATCTGCAGTATTTTACATTAGTTTAATATCTTTTCTCATCGAGTTGGTAAAACTGGACCCCAGCATGAACTGATACATTAAGAAAGTAGGGAGAAACTTGAAAGTATTGCAGTACCTGAAAAATGTTATTCCATTTGTACCATGATGTTTTTCAAACTATATTTTCTTCTGTGTAGTTGCAAGTACTAACATACTTCTGAGGGGCTCATGTTCTAATTTCAGAAATATCATATCCTCTATCAAAGAAGAATTTTTTTTTAATTGGGAAGCAAATAATGTGCCAGTGAGTCACCAATGGAGAAAATTTCTGAAATCTGAATAGTTCAGAGTTGTATGACCCTCAGTAACTCTCCCTTTAAAAGATATAAAAGTAATGTTGCCGCAGACCTACCAGACCGTAGGGCTGCTGTCTTATTAGAGAGAGACAATTGATGGTGGTTTAATCTGAGGGTCACCACACCTCAGACAAGGGGCGAGGTTAAGAAGGAGAGTCATTCATGGTACGCTTACCCAGTGTGGGAATTGAACCCATTCTGCATCACAAACCAGCCATCCAACCAACTGAGCTAACCAAGTCCCTTTGAAAGATGTAGGCAACAAGTTAAATTACAACTGCAATTTTATTTCCCACGGTATCTTAAATGTGTTAGAGTGCAGAAGGAGGCTAATCAGCCTATTGTGTGTACACTGCCTCTCTAAATAAGCATCGTGACTCAATGCCGGTGCCTTTTATAAATCTTTCAGCTACCCTGTCGAGTGGAATGAAATAATAATTCTACAATATCAACATTTTTAGACATCTCAAGATGTGTACAATTTAAAAATTGTATATTTTTTCAAATCGTTTCCATCCTGCCTTTGGCTGTTACTAGGATTCTGACAGTCTCTGGTATCTCACGTTAACAGCAAATCGTTCAATCATAAATGCGATTAGTGGCAAGCCCACCTTTATCTTTAACTCCTACAAATACATACGTGCTTACAAGTAGAAGCCACACAGCGCTGATCAGAAACAGGATCCCAAATGAAATTTCTCCCTTTGAATGTAGCAGCCTTGCAAACTATTTGCTTGTTAACTCATTTAATAAGAATTGGATTTTAATGCACAAGTATATCTAAACCTCTGTAGGCATCAGTAGTGTTCAAATAAAAGTAACAACTTTTCACGTGTATATAAGCAATACTCCAAAATGAATTACTTAGATGTGTGATACTCACTGAACAAAATTCCTAAATATTTTGCTCGAAAATAATTGATGGAGGGATTTATTGCTTTAGTTCACGAGCTCCTTTATGTTTTCCAAAAGTATTTGCGTAGTGATGTCACTGTGGCCTAAGGTGCTGTAATTTTGCATAATTGTTCCCTACTTTGTTTGCAAATGCTAGTTATTCATTTTATAATTTGACTGAGGATTGCTAAGAACCAGCTTTACCCAGAGATAAACTTATAACTTGCTAACATCCAATTTTTAAATTATGGAACAACCTCCAAGTTTGAGGAAAACGATCCTTGCTGCAAGAATGTTTAAATAATTCTGCTCAGCACAGAGATCAATTGTTTGAAAGTTATGTGACTCCTGTCATTTGTAAGTATATTGTCATATGTTGATGCAAACACTGATTTCTTTTAAGGTTAAGGATGAACCATATTTGTCCATCTGTTTACCTGTGACTACAGGGGAATATTTGCTGATTCAGATTTGTTCACGTAAATTCATTTTTGTAAACAATCGTACCACAGAATTTACTGCTTTTGGACTCTGTTGCGTTACTATAACTAACGCACAGTTCTGAGAAATCTAAACAACTTTAAGATATATTGAGACATTATACATCTACTCCACAACTTATATTGCAGTATTTTTAAACTTAACATTAATAATTATTGAAGGAGCTAATGGACTTGGAAAATTATGTAGATGGATGACTAAAAATCATTTCTATTTCCATTAATGTGATTCATATAGAGTCAAAGTGTCAGAGAGATGTACAGCATGGAAACAGACCCTTCGGTCCAACTCCTCCATGCCGACCAGATATCCTAAATTAATCTAGTCTTACTTGCCAGATTTGGCCCATATCCTTCTAAGCCCTTCCTACTCTTGTACCCATCCAGATGCCTATTAAAATGTTGTAATTGACCAGCCTCTACCACTTCCTCTGGCAGTTCATTCCATACACACACCCACTTCTGTGTGAAAATGTTGCTGCTTTGGTCCCTTTTATATCTTTTCCCTCGCACCTTAAACCTATGCCCTCTAATTTTAGACTCTCCTACCCTGTGGAAAAGACCTTGGCTATTCAACCTATTCATGCCCCTCATGATTTTATAAACCCCTATAAGGTTTTGAAGTCAAATGTGACTTAATTCAAAGCTGTAATAATTATTTCTCATGTAAATTTTAAGAGTTTTGTGTTATCTGAATAATCACCAAAGTTCAGGATTTTGTAAGGTGGGATCTAGGCAGTGAAAGACTGAACTTAGGTCGTGTATATATTTCTCCTTGTGCTCATCAGTTGTGAATTAATTTTGTTTTTGATGAATCTGTTTCATTCCCTAGTTGCTCAGAATATCCAATCTCCCAACTCCTGAAGAAACTGCAGTGCAAGATCTACAACAAGCTTTATCCGATTGTGAATAAACATTTTTTAGACCTGGCTAGTGTCAATGAACTTGATGCAGGCACCGGATTGTATTCATCCCTTTCGCAGTATTCTCTGAAGATAGACATGACACCTTCACTCAACAGAGGAAGCAGGTTAAAGTCTTCCAAAAGCGCTTGCTGCTTGGGATCTGTTCAAGATCACAATAAAATAAATAATGGTGGATTAAGACATAGTTCCTCTGTTAGCTCATTTGCATTCACTGAACATCAAAATGCAAATTCAGATGTTAGAGATCAGAGTGGACTGGCACAAAATATTACAGGTCAACAAATTAACCCACCTACGACTGTTGCGCCAAATTCGATGGCTGATAAAGACAGTCCTTTTGAAGATTTGGAACATTATGTGATGAAGTTTGAGGAACAACCAGGAAACATTACAGATAGTCTGATGCAGGTGACAAACACTTATCATCTTCATCAAATGGAAGATATTTCATTGCAAAATCTCCTGAAGAGTATTGTAACAGATGTACATAATTCAATAGGTAATGTACTCATTCCCTTCACAAATTTAATTAGATGTAATTATTCTGTAATACCAGTAAATGCTGTGAGAAGAAGACATTTGCTGGTCAAAATGGGGAAAGTTGCTATGAATTCTTGCACAAGGTAACACTAGCATAGATTTTTGAATTCTCATTGGTCCAATGTGCAAGACTTATATCAGTTTCATAATCTACAGTTTAGTTGGAACATGTACATTATGCCAAAATGGAGATAACAAGGTATAGAGCTGGATGAACACAACATCAGAGGAGCAGGAAAGCTGACGTTTCGAGCATAGACCCTTCTTCAGAAATGGGGGAGAGGAAGGGGGTTCTGAAATAAATAGGGAGAGAGGGGGAGGCAGATAGAAGATGGATAGAGGAGAAGATAGGTGGAGAGGAGACAGACAGGTCAAAGAGGCGGGGATGGAGCCAGTAAAGGTGAGTGTAGGTGGGGAGTTAGGGAGGGGATAGGTCAGTCCAGGGAGGACGGACAGGTCAAGGGGGCGGGCTCATCCCCAGTTAAAATTAGACTCCCATTTATTCCTAATTTTTCTGCCTTTCCGCTATGTCCTGATTTATACTGGTCAATTGCCCTCTACCTCATTGTGCTCAGACCCTTCTATCCTGTACCCAGGTTCTTACCCACCTGTCCCCTTGCCCACTACTCCTCCATTTACTGTCAAGGCCCACTTTTACAAATTCAAGCTTCACTTGAGAGCTGGCAGTACGTAATCTGATGTCGGAGATGCTACCTTTATAATGGATCAAAAAACTGAGAGCCCATTTTCCCTCTCAGGCAATCATAAAGGTGTGATTCGGAGATGAGCAGTGGGCTTCTATTATCCATCAACCAACAAAAACTTGATCTGGTTATTTTTCTCATTTCTCATTTCAAGTTTTGAGACCCTGCTGTGTAAATTTGCCTGCTAAGCCAATTTACCGCAACCGCTTCCCTTAAAATCTGTTTTTATTTTATTCAGAGGCACTTTGTGCTATCCTGAAGTTGTGAAAGGTGCATAAGTAAATATAATATAGTTACTTTCTTATCCCTTCAGTCCTTTTCTCTCTTTGTCTTTTTTTCTTATTAATTCCTCTTTTCCTCGTTCTTTTGTGTTATTGAATTTTCTGGACATCTCTACATCTGATGTAGTTGCCACCTTGTTATACTTGTAACTTTCATTAACTGAATTAGTCAGAAATCACCTGCATGCTCCCTTCTTACAATGTGTTCTCAGGTAATAACTAAGGTAGGTAAAATTGCAAATGCAATTCCACGTGCATTTTTCTAGGGACCTGATAGTTTCATGTCTTCCTGATCTATTCTGCTAAAGGTACTAGACATATTTCTTGTAATCTAGATGAATGTAAGTTTGTTTCAAATCATGCAAGGGAGGTGAGATTTTCAAGTTAATGAGTCTTATTTTTCAGTATTATAGGGACATGTGTGGAGCATTGACACATTAGGAAGTGTGACAATGAGAGAATTTGAAATGTGTTGGATAAACTCAATATAAACATATTCTAATCTTTGACTTTATGTTGAAAGTTCAAAAGTCATGTGCGGAATTAAAACAATATTTAGAAAGCAAATGTATTTTCTTTACCTTAAAGTAAAATTTTATTTTAATCAGGAGGAATAGGGTTTAAGAAGTAATTTCTTTTTTAATGTGGACGTGTAAATAAAAACCAGGTTTGAGGATGGCATTTCTGTCAGATACAAAATGAACGAATGTTCTGAGGAAACACTCAAAGGCTATAAATGAAATGAGAAACAAAACCAGCCACTAGATGTCAGTATGCTTTAAGGATCAGGATTGAAATAAAATTCCAAGAAAAAATATAGTTGAATCGTCTGCGGGGAGGCAACCACTGTCAATTGTCATTCCATTCCTACGTTTTTGCGCAGTGACCGTGTTTTGCAGTTCTGACCTAGATTTCTAGTGTTGGCCTCTTCAGAAATTCAGAACACCTTTTAAACCAAAGTCCTCCATAGTCATGGGTCATTTGAGGAAGTCAAACTGTGTCTGCCTTTTATGGCATTAGCTGTGTTCTGCTAAGTATTCATTTACTAACACATTGAGAAGCTTTGGGGCATTTAAACACGTTTTCAGTGAGGTAATGAATGAATGTGAATGAGGTTAATGGGCTTAGATGACAGGTGAGTAGGGAGGCCGATGCGTCATCGAGTCAGTTTGAGAGGGGTTCTCAGATCGGGAATAGTAACATCATGTCGGGGGGAGTGAGTTGTATGGTTGAGTCGGGTGGTGAGGTTAGGTGAGTTGGGCAAAAGTTGGGGGACCAAGAGCGATTCAGGGGTCAGCTTTATGGGTACCTGGGAGTGAGACATGTTTTAACCTGTTGAATATTTCTGAGGTAAAAATCCAAGTAAGTCCATCAATACTGTTCAACTATAGTTTGAGTTTTGACTGTCAAATTCACACTTTTCATATAGATCCCACTGAATCACTGCATTTGGTCTCCTGAGGGGTCCTGATGCTTATTCTCTGGTTATGTATCTGATCTCAGCCTATCCAGAGACCCGAATGTCTGGGCCTATATTTTACAAAATAAATCTGGAAGAAGGGCATTCAGACCACTGATCACATTTATTCAGAAAGACTTTACAGGTATTCCTCCCCCACTTCTTCGTTGTTTTTCAAATTATTCCAAAAGGTCTGCACTTGCAGTACTATATCCAGTGCAATCCCGTTGATCATACTTATGTATGAAGAATACCGTAATATGAGTCCAAAATTTACCTTTTATATTGATTGAACCTGCTTTTCTTCACTATTGGTAAGTTTAAAGTAAACATCTAGATTTTCTTTTCTCTGTACCGTTTACAATCTTAGCATCACTCCAAGATCACCTGTCAGTTGCCTTTCTCCTCAGCTGTAAAAGCCAATGTTCTGTATCTTTTTCATAGCTTGGACCTCAGATTTGATGGATCAACCTCATGACCATTCTCTGAATTGTCAAGGGATTAAATGTCTGATGTAATCAGCATGGGCATGGTCAGCAGGGGAATCTGGTTGCAGCATTGTATGCAAATTGAATATGACTTCACACTGCTTGTAGCCTGCTGTTTTGGTTATACAGCGCATTTATTTTCTGCTTCAGGCTTGCACATGATGTGCACTGAATCTGTTAGAAACTCTAATTTTCTTTTAGCTAAATCCTTAACTACTTTAACAACATTTAATATTTATGCTGCCTGTTTTATTTTTCCTATAGTATTACACTACACTGATCTATGTTAATATATATATTTAATGCATGATTTGCAGTGTAAGTTTCTGAATCCAAGTTGTTCGTGTAAAGAAGGAAAATAGAGAGATCTTGGAATGGTCTAAAGCTTTTCATACCCACTTTATGAATGAGGTCTCACAAAGGTTTGGGAGATAAATGACCAATCTATTTTAGTGAGGCTGATGAAGGACAAATATTGTACACAAATGTCATTTCCCTGATTTTATTTAAATAATGTTGTGAAGCCATGTATAGCGAACTGAAAATGCAGATGGGCTTTAGTTTAATGCCTCATTAAAGACAACAGTTTTCATAGTGAGGTACTGCTTGGAGTGCCTAGATTATGAATTTGAATCTCTGCTTTTAATCCACAACACTGATATTATTGAGCCAAGTTGTGAAACAATACAGTACCATAACGCTGTGACTACAGCCCTCTTCCTATTGTACATATTTAACCTACTGTCATGCTTTGAGCTTAACTAGTAACCTTTTCCTCTGAAATCTGTGAAGTTTTTATTTAATTGAAGCACACAATGATCCTTGTGCCTTGGAAAGATTTTCTATGCTAAAAGCAGAATGCAAATAGTCATCTGTGCAGAGATAGTTGATATTGTAGTAATGTGCTGAAGTAGTGGTACTACTAGACTAATAACCTCAAGCTCATACTAATGCATTGGGGACTCTGGTTCAAATCCCACTAGGGCAAAAATTAATTCATCTGAAATATGAAGTTAGTCTCAACAATGGTGACCAAAGCAATCATGTTCTCATTTCAGCTGATGGTGATACTGGACAAGTCAGATTCCAGAATGGAACCTGGCTCGATTGACTGTAGATTTTATGTTTTCAGTTTGGTTACTATGGTGTTTGTCACTGAGCATATTCACATGAAGCTGCCAAACAAAAGAGCATAAGTTTATTACAGAAAAGAGAAACAAAACAAGCAGGACAAGTTGGGCCAGGACAAGACTTAACAAAAATGAAAGACTTAACCCTTTCTCCCAGCAATATTCTTTATAAACACTCAATCCCAGTGTAGTATCACTCCTGCCTTAATTCAGTTTTTTTTTATTAAACTGACCAGGTTGCAAACATTTCCTTTTGGACTTTCTGCGCATTCACCAGATATGGTTCTCTTAATTACTGTCTCTTCCTCAGGTGTACAAACATTGAGTAATTCACTGACTTTCTGAATTGAGCATTAAAAAAATCCCCTGTCTACTTGAATTCCCAAAACAATTTAAGACTTCTTTTCAGCTCTGATAGTCTTAGAGACTTCCACAAAATCAAACGTCCTTATGCTGGCATGAATCTTCTTCTTAACCAAAACCTCATTTTGGCATCGGCCATCTGTCTTTATGTTATAAAAGTTCAATTTTGTATGCCCTTCAGTTAATTCCTCATGTTGCTTGCTAATCATTCAGCTTATGCTACATGTTTTGTTGAAAAGGCTGCTTTGAACTCATTGTTCAAAAAAGAATCACGTTCTTACTTTTTTAAAAAACCAAAAACCTATTTACCTCTACTTTTGAATCTGAAATCCCAAGCAATGATGAACTACAAACCAACATCACAACTACTATTCATTATTATAAAAACCTATCTAGTTCATTTCAGTAAAGTTCTTTAATGAACAAAATCTACTGATTTTCGTATGGTCTGGCTTACATGTGACTCCAGACCCAGAGCAACGTGGTTAACTCTTATTTGCCCTCTGGAGCAGCCTGACAAGCTACTCCATTCATGGACAGTTAGACAAGGGCAACAAATAGTGGCTTTTGCCTGCAACGCCTATATCCCATCAAAGAAAAAGAAAATGTGCGCAATAAAATTTATAGAAATGAATGTTGTTCTAAAAACTGTCATATTTATAAACAAATATTTATACATCGATTAGAATTCCATTATAGGTCTTCATAGGTGTCATGAAACCATTGAAATTACCATTAGATGCTGATAGTGTGATGACTTTTGATCTGGAAGCAGTATAGTAGGGAAAAGGATTTCTTAAAGTGATCTGTGGACTCCATTTTTAAGAATGAGTGAAAGGGACTTTTAAGTGTTCGCATCCATTTGCTAATAAATGCTGGTCCATGCGACTTGGCTACACTTGACCTGGATGCAGTTCTATCAAGAAAGAAGTTAAGAGAGAATCTGTGCGGCAGACAGACACTAAGAGAATCTACAACCCACAAAGGAGCTAGAGGGGATTGACAATCAGACCATCAATACATAGACCAAGAGAAAGCAGTCACAGACAAAGAAAGGAATATAGAAATCTTGTAAAGAGAAGAAAAAGCAACTCCTTCAGCAAGAAACCAGTTTTTCAGTTTTGCAGAAAAGGTGGCAGGAGCTCCAGAAGTACTGGATGCACTGGCTAAAAAGGTATTTTCCTGGATGCGTCCAAACCGTAAACCGAGTGTTATTAGCTGGCTGTTTTAAAAGGGATTCTGGAAAGCTACACCATCCAAACTGTCATAATTCAAGGTAAAAAATCACACAACACCAGGTTACAGTCCAACAGGTTTATTGAGAAACACTAGCTTTCGGACTCCTGCTCCTTCTTCAGATGTTAGTGAGAGGAGGTATCAAGGCACAGAATTTTTAAGTAAGAAATCAAAGGATCAGACAATTGATGCGAATGTATTGAATAAACCTAAAATGGCTGGCTGACTCCCTCCTGTCAAATGTTTAATCAGTTAGAAAGGAGATGCAGGTTTTGATTGATTAAACTGCAAATCCCAGAATTTCTCTGAAGTCACTGCCGCGATTTAACGAAAGGTTTTATTAGTGTATGCAAGAGGCGACATCTCTGGGCAGACAATGCATTTTAGGTGTGAGGCCTTGTTTAGAATCTGTCTGTGTTTGTGGTTTTATTTCCAAAGCAGGAATTTATACAATGTCCCATTGACTGACTGTGTCTACTAATTGTGTGCTTTTTGAACAAAATAGAATGTATCTGCAAATGCAAATTTTCTCCTCATAGATTTATACATGTGTGTGTGCGCGTGTGTTTGAGAGAGGCGGGAGAGCACGTGCGCGTGTGTGTGTAAGAGGGGGAATAGCGTGTGTGGGTGTTTGAGACAGTGAGCGTGGAGAGCGAGGGAAAGGGGATCAGAGCATGGTGTACAGGCAAATACAGCATGCAGAGAGTCTGTGAGGAAGGACAAACAGTTGATAGGGCAAAGTTGTAGTCAGTGTGACGGGTTGAAGTGTGTCTATTTTAATGCAAGAAGTGTCAAGAATAAGGGTGATGAACTTGGATGGATCAGTACTCGGGGCTACAATGTTGTGGCTGTTACGGAGACTTGGATATCGCAGGGGCAGGAATGGTTGTTGAATGTTCTGGAGTTTAGATGTTTCAAAAGAAATAGGGAGGAAGGTAAAAGAGGTGGCGGAGTGGCATTGCTAATCAAGAATGGCATCACAGCTGCAGAAAGGGAGGTCATCGAGGAGGGTTTGTCTACTGAGTCAGTATGAATGGAAGAAACAGGAAAGGAGCAGTCACTTTATTGGGAGTTTTCTATTGACACCACCCCCAACCCCCCAATAACAACATAGACACAGAGGAACAGATTGGGAGGCAGATTTTGGAAAGGTGCAGAAGTAATAGGGTTGTTGTCGTGGGTGACTTCAACTTCCCTAATATTGATTGGAACCTCCTAAGTGCAGATAGCTTAGATGGAGCAGATTTTGTCAGGTGTGTCCATTAAGGATTTCTGACTCAGTATGTAGATAGGCCAACTAGAGGGGAGGCCATATTGGATTTGGTGCTTGGCAACGAACCGGGCCAGGTGTCAGATCTCTTGGTGGAAGAGCATTTCGGTGCTAGTGATCACAATTCCCTAACCTTTACTATAGTCGTGGAGAGGGATAGGAACAGACGGTATGGGAAAGTATTTAATTGGGGGAGGGGGGATTAAAATGCTATAAGGTAGGAACTGCAGAGCATAAACTGGGAACAGATGTTCTCAGGGAAATGCACAACAGAAATGTGGAGGTTGTTTAGAGAGCACTTGCTACGAGTATTGGATAGGTTTGTCCCACCGAGACAAGGAAAGGATGGAAAGGTGAAGGAACCTTGGATGACAAGACATGTGGAACATCTCGTCAGGAGGAAGAAGGAAGCTTAATTAAGGTTGAGGAAGCAAGGATCGGACAAGGCTCTAGAGGATTACAAAGTAGCCATGAAGGAACTGAAGAACGGACTTAGGAGAGCTAGAAGGGGGCATATAAAAGCCTTGGCGGGGAGAATTAAGGAAACCCCAAGGTATTCTGTACTTATGTGAGGAACAAGAGGATGGCCAGAGTGAGGGTAGTGCCGATCAGGGATAGTGGAGGGACTTGTTCCTGGAGTCAGAGGTGGTAGGGGAGGCTCTTAATGAATACCTTGTTTCAGTATTTACCAGTGATAGGGACCTTGTAGTTTGTGAGGACAGCGTGAAACAAGTTGATATGCTCAAACAGGTTGACGTTAGGAGGATGTGCTAGAAATTTTGAAAAACATGAGGATTGATAAGTCCCCTGGGCCAGACGGGATATACCCAAGATTC